TAACTCTTCTACTTTGTGGGGTGGGTCATTTATATTGAACATTATGTAATCTAGGATCATAGTTGGGTCCTGGCTTGCTTCAGGAATAGACTCAGAAAAGAATACTTAGAGAGAGAGGCACCAGAAAAAAAAAAAAAGAAAGAAATATGTCTGTCTTGATTGAGGTGGAGAAAATCTAAAAGTATCACTGAATGTGTAGAGCAGGAAACCTGGGGTGATGACATCTCTGGAGTAGGTGTGCACCATGAGGTCATCCCAGTTTCGTGATACAGGACACACTAAGTTGAGTCCATGAGGCGTATCTGAATTGTCTCTGTAGTCCTATGTTTCTGTAACATTTGCTAAATTATTGCCTATATAGCTATGCAGTAAAATTATATTTCATAGTGAACATTAAAATGTCAAGTGTTCTTTTGAATATAACCATTTGGCTAACTATTAATTAAAACTATAATTTGGCATTTGATTTTGGCTACTTTATTATAGCTCAGGATTAAAGTAAATGATTGATTACCTATAACTGGAGTTTTAAATAAAAAGTACAAAAGCTTTTTCAGAGACTCAGGATAGGAAAACACAAAGATAGCTAATTTTTTTAGAACTCAGTGTTTTACTATGTAAATAGAATCAGGCAGGATATCTGTGAGTTTAGGAACTGTTATTTACTAGCTATAAGCTCCTTAGGGCAGGACTGATTTAGTTTACTGCCTAAAATACTCTTCCCCCAGGGAGGCATAGGGCAAAGGCTAGGTTGAATGTTTACTTTTGTTTGTGGCATAGCTTAAAAATAGTTGTTCTGAAAGATATCACAATGGAGGAGGTAAAGTGGTAAGTCTTGTGTAGGTGCTGAGATTTTGAGGTATCTGCTATCAAGTCTGCATATAGGGCAAGTAACACAGCTTAGCGGACTGACATTAGCTATACAAAGAAACCGGCCTCGTGGATGAGTTCTGCAAAGCCATATGAAGCCCACTGATGAAGTGGAGGTGTTTTCTCCAATTGTGCTCTTGGCATATGGGCTTTTAAGAAATGGACCTTAAGAAATGGACCTTTACAGTCTTCTCCCTTAAAATATATCTTTTTGATTACCAAAACCTGATAATAGCAGTATGATCAATTGAATCATCACGTTTCATAGCTGTTTGCTTATTCAGTATTTTTTGTTAGGACTTTAAAAAACACCCAAAATAAGTATTTATTGGAGGGATTTTTATATTCAATAATTTGTGTGTATATTTTTGGCCCTGGAAAGCATCAGGTGATACAGAAGCACCACTGTGATTTGGGACGGTGGTGTCTGCACTTATCAGAACCAAGCACTGTGAGAACCTTTGTATCTTAGATGCTTCCTCAGGGCCAGTGTTTGTCATCTGAGTCATGCTGAGTGACGACGTGTTTGGGGAGCGAGTAATCACCAGCCTGTCTCACTCCTGGTCTGCCTAGCCCATCCCTAAAAATAGTTGCTTATTGTTCCCCTTGGCACACGATTGGTCAAATTTTGATTTAATTTTTTATAATTTCATAAAGGATGGAGGTGGTAATTTTATTTTTCAGAGCATTCAGTTAAGCACGCTTTCAGAATCAGCAAGTACCTGCTACATGTGCTGAGCACAGGGCCGCAGTCCTGAAGTGGGGGCAGTACTGAGCAGGCTCCTCCCACACACTCCCCAGGTAGTGTCCTGCAGAGGGCAGCCAGAATGTCCAAGGACTGCCTTTACCTTTATCATCTCATTACACAGATATTGAACATTCAGTTTACATAAAATTAATGGTACTGCGTGAAGTGATTTTTTAGGCCGTACCTGTTTCTTTACATGGAGGTCATTGTTACTCTTCCTCTGTGGTTTCACCTGTAAGTAGATAGGAGTAGCTCTCCAGTTATCCACAGAGAAACCTGTGGGACTTTCCTTCAACCCTAAAGTGCAGTCAAATGCCATTGAGTCTGTTTATAAACATAGTAGAACCTCTGTAAGCTGAGCCCCCACAGGACTGTAAGGTCCACACACAGGTGGTCAGGAGGAAGAACTAGGCCTACTGCACTGATGGGTACTCATGGTGCAGGTCAGTCCGTGAAAAGTTAGGTCAGCTTGAGGTGGGAGGTGGGAGGTGGTCACTGCGGACGTTCTGCAGTATCTGGAGAATCCCAGCACTGCCCTTGCTCTGTGGGGCCAGCCTGACTTTTAGTCTTTTCCTGAATCACTGCAACTTCTCTGACTTGACTGCAGTCCGGTTTCCTCACAGTATATTCTTCATATCAGAAGCAAGGGAATGTTTTAAAAATGCAAGTCAGGTTTTCTCTTTGCTCTACAAAAAACTGTTAACAGGATTCATTTTCTCTTAGTGCTGTGCCTTCAAGGCCCCAGTAATATGGTTTGTACCAGCATCTCAGGCCTCCTGGGGCTCACCTCTGCTCACCCAGCCCTCTCCACTGACGCTCTCACGGGGCTGCACCTGCTCCCTGCCCTCTCCCCAGAGCACCCTGTTCTCAGATGCCCTCCACCCCCTTTGTCTAATATAAAAGATGCATTCCCAGACTGCTGAATTTGGTCAGGCCTGCTTCTGTGCATGTCCTGCAGAAAGCTATTACGTATTACCTCTGTGTCTATCTGTCTTCCTCTGGAGGGTAGGAGCTTGATGGGTACTTAGGGACCACTTTTCCCACAACTTAGAGTACTACCTATTTCTGTCACATCGAACCTACACAAATGCTTGTAAATTTATGATTTTTTAAATACTGTTTACTGTTAACTCTGTATCATAAAGAAATCCATGAAGTAACAGGATAATCAGCACAGGTCCACAGTGTTAGATAACCCTTTACTGAGTAGATGTTAGTATATCCTTTTTAAACAGGAATCAGCAAACTGTAAACTGTGGGCCAGATCCAACCCCCTATCCTTCTGTAAGAATCACAAGCAAAGAAAGGTTTTCATACTTTTAAATGTTTGAGAGAAAAATATTAAAAGATTAATAGTGAAACAATATCGTGAAATTCAAATTTTAGTTTCCACAAACAAAGTTTTATTGGAACATAGCTACCTTTGAATCTGTTTATATAATGTATGTTACTGCTTTTGCACCACAGGACAAGTTGAATTGTGTGACAGACTATACGGCTGATAACGCCGAAAATGTTTGCTGTCTAGCTCTTTATTATAGAAAAGTTCCCTGAGCCCTCCTGTAGAAACCTTCTGTGGTATGAGAACAAATGAGTATAATTAGCCGTATTTAAGTCATGTCTCAGTTTTCCTCCTTTTCCACTTCTGCAGGGAAAGTTTAATTATGTTGAATAAAGAATATCATGAGTGTTGGGAACTGTAGTCCAGCTTCTTTATCTCACACCTACTTAGAGCCTTTTGAGATTTGAGCGTTGTAGATTACATGTTGAAAAAACAGAGACTTCTGTTTTGCATGCAAAACCAGAGTGGAAGACTCACGCTTTTCCCCGATCCAATGGTCTAAAATGAGTATTTTCCTAAGAACTAATATTCTTGATTTTTAAAACTAAATGTTTTTTTTTACCAGTTAAGCAGAAAAAAGGAAATACCTTTTTGTGCTATTTGATATAATCATTTAAATATTGTGCCAAAGCCTTCTTAAAATTTTGATTCATTTTTGCTGCTATGTTACCTTGCAGAAAAATAGCACTGACCATGTTTTGGTTGTGTTGTGTAATAATTTTCTTAACTATTGGAAATAACTTTATTTGTTAGGGTTTATTATTAGGCAATATAGAACTTTCAGTTTACATCATTTAATAAAATCAAATGGTTTTAAAAATATTGTTTACATTTTGTTTAAAAATATTTTACTGAGAAAATAATTAACTTTGTTTTATTTTTAGGGTTATATCCTGTGTTGTGACCTCATGGTTTAAGTGGGAATAAAGATGAGTATAAGCAGTGATGAGGTCAACTTCTTGGTATATAGATACTTGCAAGAGTCAGGTGAGTACTTCTATAAAGTAAATAGGCCTCAAATTATTTTAATATCCTCAAAATAATCTTTTATGCATTTGAAATTTGTATCAGTCCAAACTGTTGAACTTTGTATGTTTCCTTAATGTCTGGACTGCCATTTTAAAGCTATGTTTTACTGCATGGTTTAACTCTCTGACTCTTTCAAATATGTTGGGATCATCTCAGGCAAATATTTGTAACAAACTGTTTGGCTTTTGCTGTTCAAAGACCATTCTTATAATTTGTTACAAGGTGAGGTTATTGCACATGTTTAGTTAGGAACATATAAACTCCTAGATACCAATAGTTTGAAAGGTATATCTAGAATCCTCAACTAAATGTTGTTGTTCCTAATGATAGTTAGCATTTCAAAAGGTAAATTAATAGTAATTTTTTCAGAATATTTTCATAAGTAGTATCTCAACTGATTAAGTGTATCCTTGACCTGAATTCTTAGTAATATATTGAGGGTGATTATAAATATAAATCATTGAAAGTCATTTGTAATACTAAACAGTGGTCATCCAAATTTTCTAGATAAAGAGGTGTAGTCATAAAATTGAAGCATTACTGCAAGGGAAAATGTGGGTGGATTAGGCAAAAAAAAAGTAGAAGAAAAATTTAGGCATGTGTGGGGTATAGGATGTGAATAGTTGGTTGCAATGGTTAAGTGCTGACTGCTAACATGAAATGAAATTATTGGGTGGTTGAAAATCACCCAAGATCTCAGGATCTAGAGATTGAATTTTAGAAATTGTACCATAAAGTTACTATCATATTTTAATAGTGAGGTGAAGTAAAGTATAAAAAAAAGTAATTTTCAAAATTGCATGTGAGGGATGACAGGGGGGATAGACTAGAGGTCTACTCTTGTAGGGCCCTGAGCCCTTGGTTGGTGGTGATCTGTGGCTGGCATCGGTGTTCCCCTTTCTTACATTCGTGGCCTTACATCTTAGATCCTGCTGTTCGCTGAGATGCTCCCAGCTGAACTCCAGTTCTGGGCCTTTCTCTTGGGTGGGTTTTCTCTTCCTCAATACCCTCATCTCTCTGGCGTGAACAGCTGAGAAGATGATGGACAACACAGGCGGGAAAGACAGAGAAATAATTAAAGTGACCAACCAATAGAGAATAATTGGTTAGGAAGATTTGAAATTCATAGACCTTGTTTTGTTAGTTTAAAATGGTAAACTGTTATTGAAGGCAGATATAAAAGGATTTCCAGAGAATGTTTCAAATAAGATAAAATGATTAATAAAATAAAAACTTCGTATCGTTACATAAGAATCATGTCAACCTGTATTTGGACATTGTATTTCGTACTTTGAATCAAAATGCAAAGAATTTGTTGGGTAAAAAAAAACCTGTGCTTTCTGCTTCTGAATTTGACCATCTTATAGGCCAGAGCTTTGAAGCTTTTGGACAGTGAAGCAAACGACATTGTAGAAGATCAGTAGATAGGAAATAGCGTGGTAAAGGCTTATGAGTTTATTGGAAAGGCAATTATTTAGGTTGAACTGTACAAAAATACTGTTTCTGAAAGTCTAGAAATGCTTGATAGCAGCTTGCCCTATGGCTCAGGCTGTGCTGGGGTGAAATAGGGTAAGACGTGGTGAGAGGAGTTGGTGAGCATGTAAATTGTCCTGTTTCAAAAGTTCACAGATCCGTATTTTATATTGCAACAAGAAAATATATTGAGTAAAAGGGGGCGGTAAAATAATACTCTGTGTTAATTTCTGAAAGCGTATCCAGTGATTAAATACTACCAAAAGTAAAGTTGCTTATGTTCTCAGGAAAAAAAAAAAAAAAAGAAGAAAACCTTGTTAATTCCATGTTTTGAGCTGTTTATGTTGCAATAAAAGTAAAACAAGAATTTTAAAAAACTTCGTATACTAGACTGATGTATCATATTAAGTCCTTTATAACTGTTTACTGTATTCTTAGGTGTGTTTTGTGTATTCTTTTAGAAAGTTTCATATTGTACTGGTGATGTTAAGTCACATCTAAAAATAAGAACACCAGTCCCTTGGTAAAAATTATAACTTCCCATTTACATTAGAATTTGTAGGGGAAATATCAGACTCAACTGATGACATTTTGGCTTAACAGCAGTTTTTCTAGCACTACAACTTGCCATAAACTTAAGAATTGCCTATGCCAGAGTTCTAAAGCTTGATGCTCTGACTACCTACATCAGAATCTCTTAGAGAACACTGAGGGGACCCAAGAATCTGCATTTTACAAATGCCCCAGGTGATTCCTAGTTTTAATAGAGTCTGAAAGCTACTAGTCTTTATTAATTATAGGAAAATTAGAACTTGACAAGAAAGTTGACAACAGGTATGTGGCATGTTCACAATGTCTTGAAAGAAAAGTTACAGTTAGTAAATACTCCAGATAAAGTAGAAAGCATGAAATGTCCACCCCCGGAAATGGGGAGTGGGCAAAGAGGAAGTATCTCTGAAGTAGGGGCACTTGTGTTTATGGACAAAGTTCAAGAGGGACGGATGATAAGGCATGTTTGTGTCAAAAGGATGCTTTGAGACTTTCATTTGAAATGGCTTTTAGAAATAGGCGGTAGGGGAGAGTTTATGAATTGTACGGTTCTGTGAACCCACCCTGAATCTCACCTGTAACAAGTGCATGTGGTGGCTTCACATTGGGCACCTGCCACATCCTTCAAAGGTTCTTTCTTGGTTCTGACCTCCAGCTATATATATAAATATGGCTGCTTTTGCAATAGATTGTGATTTGAAATCATATAGTATAATAAATTTCTAGGTTGTTTTGGGATTTAGCATTTTTATCACTGTAACCTTCAGAGGATACTTGTTGAGAATTAGTTTGAATTGTTAA